AAATGGGGCAGGACCCCATCAGAAGCCTTTTGCTTCACTGCATGAGGGCTGAGCTCTCGGGCTTTGCAGCCCCATCTTTGCTGAACACGTGTGGAGCACTGTGAGGTTTCTTCTCTCCATGTTGGCCGATCCAAGCACAGTGTTCCCTGAGTACGTGCAAATGCTTCACATAAATGGCAGGGAAATCTGTACCACTTGATTATTTCCCTGGTATTTGTCAGCAGCCTGGGCACTGTGAGTGAATTTTGTGCCAGTGCTGGGTTCCTGCCTTGCTCAGGATTACCTGGGAGCTCCTCAAGTGCTGCCCCCTTTGGTCTATCTGTCACTCTGCTCCTCGTCTGGGAGCACATCCGAGGCGTTGTGCTTCTTGGGTAGGTGAGGTTCCTCCTGCAGACAGCGTGGTGCTGGATAGGAGCCCTTAACGTCACTCTGGAGCAGGCTTGTACATTCATTTTGCCATTTAGGACTAGATAGTAGGAAGAAAACGCTTATAAATGTCTGGGGAACCTGCTTATGGTAACCTGGAGATCCTACTCAGCCAAGAGGAAGAGTTTCTGCTCTCCAGGGGCAACAACAATTGCTTTCTCAGGTGAAAAGTGAGGTCTGCTCAGCCCTGGTTTAGCATTGTCCAGGGAAGAGCACAGGAATACAAGAAGCCTCTGACGGTCTTTCCCCAGAATACTTTCCTAATCTCCTGGTCTCTTCCCAGAATATTCTCTGGGGAAAATACCTCAGTTTTATGCTGCCCATGCTCAGCATTTCTGTCAGGGCTGGCAGCTGATTCAGACATAATAGGACACCACGACAGCCAAGCACAATTAATGCCTCGCCTGACTGTGGCTCAGGGAACAATTTTTGGTGGTTCCCATACCGTAACTTATCTTTATGGAAATGACTCAAGACAAACTGCCTCAAATTATCAGGTGAAGCCATTTTATAGCAGGCTGGCCAGGTAAAGGGTCTGAAGTCATTGGGGTGAGATGGCATTTGCCAAAGCTTCCACAGCAGCTCGGATGTGAAGTCATTGGGCTATTAACCACAATGTGCAACCTCAGGCTTAAACTAGCCACAGGAATCAGGAGAACCAGTGTTGCCAATGTGGCTCCAATTTTTAAGAGCTCCAGGAAGAAGCTGGCCGCCATAGGGGCCACGCTGGTACCTCCTAACCATGGGTAGATATGGTAGAGCACCGTAGAGGTTCTAGAGGGAAATCAAACCTCCTAGATCCAGCAAAGCTTATGTAGATAAAAGTAGGCCAGTAAAAAGATGCGCTTGGACCTCCAAAGAGTGGTGACCTGCAGAAGGATTTGCTGGTCTGAGCAACCATTGGGCTGGAAAAGGCACTGGGAAGGGTGATGGCTCCTCCACCATGTCTTCATTGCACAGCAGCAGGAGCATTTGCGTGAGAAAAACCTGTAAAGTTTCCGTGTGCTGTTGATGCTCCTGGTGGGCAGGAGTAGAGTCCAGTAATGAGTTTGGACCTGTACTGTGTGTTGCAGGAAACAGCGGCTTGGGGAAATACCACGGCAAGTTCACCTTCGACACCTTCCCCCGCCTCCGTGGCTGCCTGCACCGCAACATGGGCCTGGAGGCCCTCAACGCCCTGCGCTACCCGCCCTACAGCCAGCAGAAGCTGGGGATGTTGACGGCCACCTTCGAGATCAAGCGCAAGGGCATGTGCACCCTGCTCTGAGGGCTGCCCCGCGCTGCTCACGGACTGGGGGGGACGACTTCTGGCTGGGTCCCCCTGGGGAGCAAAACCACCCTCCCCCGGAGGCTGGTATCCTCCTCCCTCCTCGGCACCCATCCCCTCTTCCCTTGCTACATCCTTTGCCCAATGCACATCGGATGGCGGGGACGGACATCTCCTCCTGCACGCTCGCTCCTCCCCAGCTGCCTCTGCTCCGGACCGTTTGCCAGGACGCATCTGAAACAGCAAAAAGTTCTTTTTCTCACCTTATACTTCTCTTCCCAGCAGAGAAATGGTCCCCACAAGGCTGAGGACCAGCAGTTAGCCCCATCTCCTGTTAGACAGACCTTTCCTTCTGGATGAACCCTGCTCTCGCTCCTGTCAGTGCCGGCTGTTGCTTTTTCCTCCGTGTAACCCTGCCTGTAGTAAAGACTTTGCATTGAGCTCTCCTGCCTGGCCTTGCCTCATGCCTCTCTCACCTGGCTGGGGGCTGTCGGACAGCAATCTGGCAGCTGAGCCCTGGGGGGTGGGTGCCCAGACCCCCAGTGTCCCCGTCCATCACACTGACACCCTCAGCCACACCATCGCAGCCCGTTGGGGTTGTGTCCACCTCCGGCACCCAGTGCCTGGTGGCTGCCTGGCAGCGAGGTGTGCCGGGCTGGATCTGGGGTGCGTTTTGCATCCCGAGTGGTTTGGGCTGGAGCGGAGCCAGCGGTGACGTGCGGCAGGGCGGGGAGCCGAGGGGCAGTGCAGGAAGCCGGCAGGCTCCCTCCTCGGGGGGAGAGGGCTGTTGCGGGGACTGGAGTGGGTGGCTGCCTGCACCCTGCCTGCACTCTGCCAGCTCCAGAGCTCAGCAAGGTCCTGGTTGCAGTGCCAGGGTGCTGGCCAAACTCCCCAAGGCCACCTCCTTCGGGTAAGGCACCCCGTTAGCTGGGGTGGGGAACCCGCGGTTTGCAGCCCAACCGGCACAAGCAGTTGCAGCCTGCCCAGCCCGTGGGCAGCCCCAGCGTAACCCGCCCCGCGCTGCTCCCTTGGGACCATGGAGACAGGCGACGCCTTCCCGCAGCCCGGCATGCAGCAGCCCCCGGCCAGCGGGGCCGGGAAAGCCCCTGAGGATGATGGCAGTGGTGGGAAGGGGAGCGTGGATGACGGTGCCATGAGGTGAGAGCGTGTGGCCGGGACAGGGGGGAGGCAGGGGGGGCCCGGGTGCGCTGCCATT